CCAGGAGTGGGGAAAAAAAATCTGGAGAATTTGAAAACTGCCAAATATAACACCCTTACTCAAAATAAGGAGGCCAAAAAAGAAACAGGTATAAATAGGCCAGTTAACTTAACTTAGAAAATATTAGAATCCATTATAAAAAAAATGCAATAGCAGAGCACTTAGAAATACATAACACAAATCAAGTACAGTCAGCATGGCTTCATGAAGGGAAGTCATACCCAACAGCTTTATTAGAATTCTTTGAGATGACAAGCAGGATATAGGGGAACCAGTAGCTGTAGTATGTTTTAATTTCCAGAAGGCATTTGGCAAGGTACTACTAGCTCAATTATGGCTTATCCAGCCTCTCTTCATAGTTGAAACACTCCATCCCAATCAACATCTTGGTGAATTATTGGTAATTTGAAATCTTGGATACAGGTTATCACACAAAGTGCTAACAGCCCAACATTTTAAAAAGACAATTGGCAAGTCTTTGGGGTTTTAAGTGATTATATGATAACACGGAACTGAGGGGATATATTACCTCCTGAGGGCATATGAAGCATGAGACAGTAATGAAGGAATTAGTTAGAACTGTCAGATTACCACTACAGGCATTACTGATTAAGCTTAAAGCATACCGGTAGGTAACTGATGGCCAGATAGCTGCAGAGACAGGGAAATAGAATTGAAAGTTTTCAGGTTTGCCATGATCTAACTGAATGGCAGTGGACTTGATGGGCTGATTGGTCCACTTCTGCTAGGTCTTATTTTAATAAGTTTGTGACTTGATTAAGCAAGTGAGGAACTAACTTATATTCTGCTTAACTGCAGTCAATGTTGGACACCTAGGGACTTGAACACAACCTCACTTGGGGGTTGGGGGAACCTCTTACACTTAGTTTCATAATGCAAAACAATAACTTGCAGTAACTTTCAAAGTTGAATGAGTAACCTCAAATTATTAAAATCAAGTCAGTCAATTATCTGGGTCATTATTAAAGGAAAATAAACAGACTTGTGTTCTACATCACTCCAGCTTTAATCCAAAGTTATAGACAAGCAATCACATTTTGTTAAATGTATATTTTTGTATAAACATTCTGTAACAAAGTGATTACTTTAATGATTTTTTTTTAAAAACTTTTGTTAATGGAGACAGTGTATTAATTGAATATAAGCATACTTTACTACCTCAGGTGATACAGCCTTTGGCCCAACCCATCCACACCAGGTTTCCCAAACTAAACTGGTCCCAGTTGGCTGCATTTGGCCCATATCCCTCTAAACCTTCATTTGATTGTCATTATGTACTTTTTAAAAACACACTATAGTTTTAATTGCAATTAAGAAATTTTCAATTTGATTTATTGAGGAACTCGCACCAAGGAAGCAAATCTGAGATGAAGAACTCAGGGTATCAGTCATGAGTAGAGAGGATGTTATAATATACCCTATTATCTTAATAGAAAGTCATGAATAATTGACAAGGATTCAACTAACTGCCATTAGGAAGTGATGTCACTTAGATTACAGACTTTTAGAGAAACCAATCAGGAATTAGGCAGATCAAGAATGAACTGGTGATAGTGGCTCGTTAGAGTTAATAAGACTTAGTTCAGAGGGAGCCCTCTTATGGTGCAGAAATGGAGTCCCTACCCCTTAGCCTCTGCTAAAGGCCCACCTGCTCCAGACATGCATACTAACACCTCTAAAAAGGTTGATTAGAAAAATAGGTTAAATAAAAATTAAAACTTTTCCACACAAAGAATAAAGAACAAAAAGCAACAACCTGGCTGTTATGGCACTAAGTTTCTCTGACTTTGAACTGGGAGGCCTGGGTTCATGTCTGACCTGTTCCAGAAGTGTTTAATAACAGGATGATTGGAAAACAAACAAACAAACAGAAAAAAAAAATGGCCTGATTCTTAGTGGTTTGGTGTACAAGAAGGAACACAGGAAAAAAAATTTTAAAAAAAGACAACTTGCACCTAGTCAACCAGCGTTGCAAACTGACAATCCCAAAGTGGACAGATGGAAATAATACTGCTTTTATAAATTATTATTTATTTTGTACTTGTAATAAGCTTAATTGTGAAAACACTTCTGCAACAGTTTTGTAACTAGTCAGGTCTAGCTCTCCTTAGTCTATAAGTGTAATTGATTTAGGTCTCAATTAAGTGAATCATGCAATCTTGTACTATAAGTGATGAGACAGCCACAAATTGTGTTACCAGGATGCATACTCAGATCCAGAATTCAGCATATGTGAATTGCAGAAGGCAGATCATTAAATAGTAGCTCTGCTGTTAAATTTCTGGTCTTTACTGTCCAATTCTGAACAGCACTTATATCATGCACTAATCTCTGGAAATCAAGTTGATTATAGAGGCTTAAGAACCAAGTAAATTGTTAGTAACAACCTCAAGATCCAACACCAAAGGCAGGAAGAGTTATTGAAAAAAAAATCAATGTCCCAACTGGGACCCTTCAAGTTATTAAGGAAATCCATGTTAGGATCATAACACAAAGATATCAAGGGAGGGTCAATACCAAGTCAACTTTTCAGAGCAATAAGTAATTTGACACAAGTGAGTCAAGTCTAAAGTATTCCAGGGACTGCTGATTTACATACTACCTTCACTCACTAAGGGCATGTGGAACCATAAACCCATGACAAGATCTCTTTGTACTAAAGATAATTCTACACGTCAAATATACCAGAGTGGCCTGATAAGACATGAGGAAAGCTTACCCATTATTTTAATCATGATTAAACTGCAGTTTTATTTAGTTAAAGAGCAGAACCCTTACACATCTTCACTCATCAACAACTATTGTTTCATCAACCTAGACCTAATCCATCTCATTTACATAACTCCAGAGGACTATTTTCCTTCATAGTTGGAGGGCACATCATAATCAGATAAACAAAACAATACATTATTTTGGAAACTCAATCATGATTGAACTGGCATCATCCACCAGATTTTAAAAAAAGCATATTTTTGAGCTAAATACTTGATTGCTAAGAGTATTGAAATAAATTTTTAAAAATGCCACACATCCAAACTACCCCCTACAATGTTAACTGCAGATAAATTGTTTTGCAATTCAATGCATGGAATTAAACAGCATACATCAGATTGAAAAGCTGAATCACTGAACAAGAGATGATCAAATTCAATAAGTTGATCAAATTGAGTAAGTTATTGAAAAAATCTTGCCCAAGTCAGGAAGGCATGTGCTGTTTAAAATAGATGCTTAATTATATAGATGCTTATATTTTTATTATTCTTAAATTAAATTTGGTCTATGATCATCTATCATGTTTTCTCATTATTACATTTGCATTATAAATTCCAATGTCCAGATTTATAAAGAATGGTATACTTGGCTTTAAAATGGGAGAAACAATGACATCCATACAACTGGTTTCAAATATTCTCCACACTCAATTTGCACTATTTAAAAGACTAAACTTGGCCTCAACCCTGTGCACTGCTGGAGGAGACTGACTTTGTACACTTCAGCCAAATAAAAACACAAAGAAGGAGTAAAGGACTGTAGTCAATAGCCTGAATGCCCTAATTTAGGACTTATTTGCAGATTCTATTATTTTTACACAGTAAACATTATGCAAACGTAAAGCTAAGCTCAGTCTGCAAAAATTCAAGAACACTTTTATTGTTGCATTTCATACACAAAAACAGGAACCAGTGATGCTGAAATCCCAATTTTAATAAGAATCTCTCTTCACAACATGCTCAAAAGACTAATTTATGTGGGTAAACTCCCTTAGACAGATAGAACATGGAGTGGAGGTAGCCATGGAGCTGGGGAGTCTTTTTAACAATGGGCAGGATTTGGGAATCAACAGTCTTCTGGTCTTTCTTCCGCTGTTCTGTTAGTTGATATTTCTGTGAAGAGAGGAGAGTGCAAAGGTGAGGAAGAGCAAAACTTGGCAAATGAAATAATTAGAATTTGGTAATCACTTCTGGAACAAAAAGTCATGCACCGAGTGACTATTGAACTCAGTGGAGTTACATTTTTTGCCTCCCAAATGTTCGAGCCAAACGCAAAGTTTTTGTACTTTTGCTGCTATAATGTGAGGTAACAAAACAAGTTGTAAATGTAATACAATGCAGTATTTATACAGATCACTTAACATTATAAACTAAGGTTCTTCAGATACTGTATTACAAAACAAAATGTTACTGAAATAATGATATTAGGCTTGATAACAAAAAGCTTCTTCGAATAGGTAGGTGTAAAGGAATGCCTTGAAGGAGGAAAAGTAACAGAGGTTTAAGGAGCATTTAAAGTATATTAACAGCTCAACCTTTCTTCAAAGCAGTGGTGCCAGACCATTCAGCTGCAGCAACAATTCAGTTTTTGCCTGAAACTGTGGAATGGGTAAATTTCAGGTAGTAAGTAAGGTATAATGCTGTATGAAATCATCAGCCAAATTTGGAAATACTGGGTCAAAATCCTGGATCTTCCTTGTTGTGGACTAGGGACATACTTACAACCAATGAACAGCAGTGGCTCAACTCAGCTCACCACCACCCTTTCAAGGCCAACTAGGGATGGACAATAAGTGCTAGCCCAGTCAGCAACACCCACATCCTGCAAGTGAATAATATAAAAATTGCAACCAGGCTTCAAAGCCTCAACAGCACTCTATCCAAGTGGCAGCTATTATTCTAACTTTTTTGGTTAAGTGGACACAAATCAAATTATTAGAGGCACCTGAATTTTTAAACAAGCTCCTAATTATAAACTAATGACACAGAATCAAAAGAATTTTTGGTTGCATTTGAGCCCAAAAATATCCTTCGTCCAATTTCTAAACACCTTCTTTCAGTCAGCAAAAGGGAATTTTCCAAAGTACACTCAAATTGATGAGATCAGCAGCTGTCTTCTCATTCGCAAGACAATGGTTTCTGCCTTACAATACAGAAGATTGCTACTGTTTGCATCAATTTAATTGCAAATCAATACAAATTCCATTTACTAAAATTATTCTTAAGTCATATTCAACTAAAAGATGTGAATTTTCTCTGTCCACAGCTTCGAATTCACATGTTCCTATGCATGCTCATATTAAAGAACAGACTGTTAAATTAAGTATTTACACTACATCTCAGTGTATCACTGATGTATTCTTTAAACTCTGTTCACTGTTGTAATTTGGGAAATGGAGCAGAATTATAAGATGCCACAAACAATGAAATAAATACAAATATTTAACAGTTATTACTTAGCACCAGGGAACCCTTCACCCTGCCCGTCAGCTAGTGCCACAAAGTCTTATGCCTAGTTGAGAGAGGAGACAGACTTTAACAAACCAGTAGAGCAAACTACTTAAGTGTTAGTTCGGATTAAGTGCTCACAGTTCCTGAGCGGGCTTAAATCCACAATTTTCTAACAGACAAAAGATGTTACCATTGAACAAAGTGGAAACTACATCCAAGACATCACATTAAAGTAGAGATAAATAATCACCAAATCACATCATTTTTGTCAGTCAACTCAAGGCCCTTTAAGTCTCATGGAATGCAGACGACTCACTGGGTTGAGACTGTTGTTACTATAGCAAGCAAAAATTGTACCAGATCATTGTTGAAGTCAACTTCTGACACAGAGTGTAGCTTGCAACCCATATTACCATATCAGGTACCTGCACTTCCCAATTATAAAACAGAATGTAGCCTTCCTGTTTAGGTTGGTTGCAGGACAGAAATGAATAAACAAAGACACTAGCAGCACTGCATTCCTAAACTAAAAAGGTACATCTCCATACTATGTTTTATAACGTTGATACAGCTCAATACATTTCACTGACAGAGCTCTAAATGCACACTGCTGCAATAAAGAAAATCCAGCAGCCAATTTGCACACAGTAAGTTCCCATAAACAGCAAAAATATTAACAGGGATAATATTTGCTACACACCAGAGAGATCCCTCTAGCCCTTCTTCAAAGAAAGTCACAAGATCTTTCATCTTCAAAAAGCACAGTTCAAATCTTGGTTTAACATCTCAAAAATTGAAACACCCAGTACTGCACAGAAGTGCCAAATTTAGAATTTTGTGCCCAAACGTCTGGATTCCCTGAATTATCCAGATAAGCATTACATACTAATTAAATGCACAACCTGCAAAGAAAATATAAGTGACTCCCTGCCCTTTGCAGACTTCCGCGCATTGCATATTTCTATACGAATATTTTAGAATTTGTCATGTATAAACAAAGGTTGAGCCCAAAACATCAGCTATAGTTCAGAGTTCAATATTGTTACTACCAGACTGTTGCACTGATCACACAGTGGAACAGCAAGATGGTCTTTCCAATCAACCTGCAACAAGAATTATTACTTAAAGATGAAACACTGGTGCTGAACCACCTTGAACTTGCATATCAAGAGGTACTTAATCATACCCAACTACCACTGGCAGAGGGGAGATAACAGCAAATAACCTGATGCTTAAATCACAGACAACTCCAGCCAGTAACAAGTAGAAGAGAGAGCAATACAAGTATGGCAAGAAAAGAATGTCAGCTCAATGTCTCTGTACATTTTCCAAAAGGAATTGGAAAACTAATCCAGAGGAAATAAAAAGGCTCTCAGGAAGGATCAGATGAATAACTAACTGAATAGCTATTACAAGAGTCAGCACAGGCACAATGGGTCAAATATCATCATTCTGTGCTGTTACCATTCTATGGGCAAGATTTGTAATGCAGAATTTAGACAAAAATAGTACAATTGCAGATAGTCTAAATAAAGCAGCAATAAAATGCTACAATGTCAAGTGATTAAATGAGCTGGAGCATCAGAGTGCACTGTTGTCTCTACCTCTTTCTCGGTATCAAAGATCTCGCCCTCCTGGTGTTTGGGCCTGCGCAGTCTCTTCTTCTTGAAGTAGGAGTCAGTCAGGTGTTTGGGAATTTTTACACCCGACAGGTCAATCTTTGTCGATGTTGCAATGACAAATTTCTGGTGAACCCTACGCAGTGGGACACGGTTGAGGGCCAGAGGACCTACAAAAAAAATGCAAGCAAGAGGAATCAGAAAACAATCCTGAGCAGCAGATTCTTTACTTTGGTCAAAATACATCAAAGCAGATTAACAACATCAGTTCAAAGGCTGCGGCTCACTTTATCTTCTCAAGGGCAACTGGGATATGGTGGCTCAGCCAGCAACATCCACATCCCACGAATGGACAGAAAAACACAAAACCGTTCCTGTTTGATTTGATAGTCTTTGTACTCTTAGAATCTGCCTTCCAAAGACTACCATTCAGGACAGGGTTCCAAAATTACGTTACCACTAACATGAGACATTTTGCAACATTGCCTAAGTAGTTCAACAAGAGGCAGTATTATTCTCAGCAGTTCTGTGCCACTATACAATTTTTAAAAGAAGTTTGAAAACACAAAACTAATAAATTAAATGACAAGCCATGTAAACAAAATTATAACTTGCTGTGAGGATATCAGTTGGGAAATATGATTTTCTTTACAGTACTTTGTATGGAAACATGAAGGAAATTGTGACAAGTGTTAAACATAGAATTACTTCAATGTTTAAGCTTGCAGAACACCTTACAAATTGGCATACTCACGTGGGAAAATGGAAGGTGCAATTATGAACATGAAAGTTATGCAAACAGAAGTCCAAGGAAAACAACTGCAGATGCAATATACATATAGCATGAGGAAACAAATCAGAATCCAATCAATCCTGTACTCTGTCTCCTCCAACAGATGAAACTTAAGTGAAAACAACTCCGAAAGGAACTTTACTCACCAGTCACCAGCAACAGGCCACTATCAAGCTGCTTCAGGAAAATCACACGCTGTAAAGCAAAAGACAGTCAAAAATCAATCATTATTAAAATGATTATAAACTTGGGGCAGCACTGTGGCTCAGTGGTTAGAATCATAGAATCCCTACAGTGTGGAAACAGGCCCTTCGGCCCAATAAGTCCACACCGACCCTCTCAGCATCCACGCAGCATCCCCCTATAACCCACCTAATCTACACATCCCTGAACACTATGGGCAATTTAGCATAGCCAATCCACGTAGCCTGCACATCTGTGGACTGTGGGAGGAAACCAGAGCACCCGGAGGAAACCCATGCAGAGCACTGCTGCCTCACAGCGCCAGGGACCTGGGCTCGATTCCATCCTTGGGCGACTGTCTGTGTGGAGTTTGCACATTCTCCCAGTGCGTGGGTTTCCTCCGGGTGTTCCGGTTTCCTCCCACAGTCCAAAGATGTGCAGGGTAGGTGGATTGGCTATGCTAAATTGCCCATAGTGCCCAGGGATGTTTAAGTTAGATGGGTTAGACATGCAAAAACCAGGGGTGGGATAATAGGTCTGGGTGGGATGCTCTTCGGAGGGTTGGTGTGGACTTGTTGGGCCGAAAGGCCAGTTTCCACACTGTAGGGATTCTACAATTATCTGTTAACAGTATAGGTACTTGCCCTACAGATACAAAAGCAGCTTAACAAATGGGAAAAGGCAGGAAAACCAAATCCAACATAGCATGGATGTTGAGCAAAATAGAGAATGTAAACAAAAAGGTGTATGATGCACGACAGGTGAATTTTCAAGAACCAGACCAGATCTAAAAAGTAGAAGGAAAGTGAACAAGGGAAAAAAAAAGGTCTGCCAAGGACAGCATAAGAACAGAATGGCAGTCAACACGAGAAATCAAAATCTCTCCCTGGTATGCAAATCATTAAACTGATAGTATAAGGCAGGTCAGGACCTATTAAGGACAAAATGCTATGCACTAACAGGCTGAAATAGTTAATGAGTACTTTTTACCAGTAATTACTGATAAAAAGAACACCGATCAAATATCAGTGGTAGTCAACACAGAAGAGACAATGGGTTGGGTGAAAATCGATAGGTAGGATGTGATAAAAAGATTGGCTATGCTTTGAATGGATAATCTGCCCACCCTGGATGGTTTGTATCCCAGATTTTTAAGGGAAGTGAGGATAGTGATAGCAGAAGAGCTTTCCAATCTTAAATTTGTGCAACAGGATTGGACAGTGACAAATAGGATCACTTTATTCAAAAAGAGTATAAGAATAGTCACAGTTCCTACAGGCCAGTGAGATGAAGGCCAATATTTGGCAAGGAAATAAAAAAATAGCCACAGGAAAAGTTAACAGGCTCTTGAGGAGGTGTGAATTAATTAATGATAGCCAGCATGAAGTTATAAAAGACAGATTTGTGCTTGACCAAGCTAACTGAATATTTTTCAGCATAACAGCAAAAGTTGAAGGGTATGCAACAAATCTGGTCTATATGGAGTTTTAAGGAAGTGTTTGACAAGGCAACCACAAAGCAATTTAACAAAACTGAAGCTCATGGAATAGGAGGATCATTTTCAGCTTGGTTAAAAGATAGCTTGAAGACAGAAAACGAGGAGTTGTGCTAATTGATTTTCAGACTGTTAGGTGATATATGTTCGTTTTCCTCAATGGTCACTGCTCAGAACACTGCATTTTTTTCAATATATACTGGAATACAATAAAGATTCAAATTTTGTTGATGATAACAAATTTGGATGTGTAATAAACAGTGAGGATGACAGCAATTAGCTGCAACAGGATGGAGAGAAGATAATAGAATAGGCAGATAAGTGTCAGATGGCATTAAATAATAACAGCATGGTGTTGGCACTGTTCCACAGAACTCTGAAGAGACGGGGGTGGGGCGGAGTTGCTGGTTCATGTGCATTGATCTTTAAAGTCAAGTGGGTAGCAATGTAGAAAAATGTGACCAACAGGACTGCTGTAGGGCTTGCATGGATGTGATATGCAAAATGGTTTCCTTCCATATTCAAACAACCGTTTTCCATCTACGGTGTTTGGTGTAGTTACAAACATGGAAATAAAGATAAGTCAATCCGCGGACCGTTCTCACCTTACACCTGTGGCGACCGGTAAGCATGATAAGCACAGTCCCTGGGGTGATGGATGCACGAAGATGCCTTTTGTGCTGGCTGAAAGGTTTGTTACCATGACTAATCCTTTTGCGAGGGACATCTTCAGTGGGGTAATAGCGTGGCTGGAAAAGCAAATAAGACCAAAGTACGAAACTATTGCCTTCTAAAGAGTAAAGTATACAATTAGATCTAATAAAATCCTTTATGGAAATTGTGCACATTTCTCTTCACAAAAGAAACATTTCATTCTGGTTGTGCTATCAAACTTTCTAAAAATGCTCAATTTAATCAACATTGAACAGTTTAATGAAAAATCAAAACTGGAACTTTAGCCTTCTGATTTCTAGAATTTGGCCAACATTAAAAATGAAACTCTACCTGCAATGCTGAGCTGATTTTTTACTGCTGCATGATCACCACTTGTTCTCCTGTAGCTTGCTCATGTTGCCATCTGTCAACAGGTTCCATCATGGCAAGAGATTTACACCAAAGCCCACCCTCACCATATATTTAGAGATGCAGTCAATTGAGACTGCTGGACAGCAAGCAACCCCTACAATCCCTTCCCAAGTTGAAATGAAATAATTTCGAACACCACGGATTGGAAGTTAGCAATCAAATAAACCCACCAAGCTACAGATGGAGAGCAGAAAATCGTAACATATAATTCCTTCGCAGCAGTGTCAGGATTGTTACTTGGAAAGAGAATGCCAAGAATCGTGCAACTCTAATACAAAATGGCTGTACAACATCAACCTTTCTTATTTGGATGGAAAATAAATCACTGGAGTACATCAAGAAACCTCCAAGTAACAAACTCAAAATTAGCCATATTAGTTCTACCTCACCCAAAACATTTTTATAAGTTCAAAAGAAAGAAATGTTACCATTTTGCGAATTTTGACAACACGGGTACCACCATTTTTGTCTCCTCCAACAGGCTTGGTAATTGAAAAGGGAGTCTTTTCCTTCAACTTCTTCTCAATCTGAAAATCAATGAGGTCCACTTTTAAATTTTCTTATCTTGTAATTTGTTACACCACAAGACATGAAATTCCAACTTCTATCATTATCTATAAACAGAAAATTGGGCAGGAATACGTCAATGAGACCATTGAGCTTCCTCTGCCATTCAACCTGATCATAGTTTATTTTCTATCTCAATGCCTTTGTTCTGCTTTCTCCCATATCCTTGACATGCTTAGCTTATATAGTGACTTCACCTCGACGGATTCCTCTGATAATTCCACAGGATCACGACCAGAGTTAGATGGCTTATCCTGTGACAGTGATCTATTGTTAGGGCCCTCCCTGATCAGCGGGAACATCATTCCGACATCATGTCTGTCCAGCCAAATAAATGAAGTTTATACATTTCAATAAGATCCCCATTTCATTCTCCCAAATCTAGTGAATATGTGCCCAGCGAAACCAAAAACTTGGCACACCAGCAATCAATCTGGTTAGCCTTTGCTAGACTCCCTCTATGAAAAGTATATCTTTTCTTATGTAAGGAGACCAAAACTGCATATAGTACTCCAGGTATGTGGTCTTACCAGGGCCTTCTGCAGCTACAGTAAGACTTCCTTGCTCCTGTACTCAATACACCTTGTAAAGACGACTGACATGCCACGTATCTTCCTTACTGTTTGCAGCATCTGTCAGTGAACACACACAGGTCTCTTCGCACTTCAATCCTTCCCAATCCAATCTATCACCAACTGCCTAGTACACTTCCAGTGTTTTTCCCACCAAAATGGACAACTTCACATTTATATACGTTATACACCTGCCACATATTTGGTCATTCAACTTGTCTAAATTGCCCTGAAGTGTCTTTACACCCTCCTCACCACCCTCACACTCACCTAGTTTTGCACTGACAGTAAACTTGGAAACATTAAAGCTGATTCCCTCATTCATAATTTATCATCAACAATTTGGATAACCGCACAAGGTGGCCATAAGACTTAGGAGCAGAAGTAGGCCATTTAGCCCAATGACTCTGCACCTCCATTCGATAAGATCATGGTTGACCCAATTATCCTAAATCCACTTTCTTTCCTTTTCCCCAAAATCCTCGATTCCTTTACTGATTTAAAAAATACCTATCTCAGCCTTGAACACACTTGGCCTCAACAACCCACTGTGGTAGAGGAATTCCTCCTCAATGATGCATGACCACTTACTGAGGTTATGCCTCCTGGTCCTAGACTCTCCACTTTTTTGCATTTAGATAAATTTACTTCATTGCCAATTATTACATTCACATGTCTTCTTCAAGGTACATTCTCAAACTGCATGCCCATATTGTAGATCTTGTCTTTCCTTACTTTTGTCTCAGGAGCTCTATATTTTCGCTTGTACATGGCTCTCCTAGAATACATGGCAGAGCGGGAAAATCTACCGATACCCCGAGCCAGCACAGGATTGCGGCTACCATGGTGACGTGGTTTTTTCTTTTTCCCTTCCGCCATTGGTTCTTTCTTCTCTCCGGTCATCGGTTCCTTCTCTCCTGCCATCTGCCAAAAGTCACACTTTAGAAACAAGTTTGCACGTATTGGTTTCAATGTGATGTAGGCCAATAACTCATAAGTACAAATAAAACAGGCAAGATAAAGCTTCAAAAACTTAAGTTCCAGTGTGCCCAATAAACCATGCTGATGCACTAAAGCAACTTGCACCAAAATAGCTAGTGACACAAGGTTTAATTAACCAAAATCACACAACCAAGTACCAAATTGTAAGTCAAACAGTTAACATTTGTCAATTGGACATGAAGCTGCCATCTAAAATTTGAGGTAACGCAAACATTATTCTAGAAGGAACATTTGTGGAGGTCTGTGGGATGCTTAAACTTTAGCTCTGTTATAAAGTGTTAAGAAACATAGAAAACAAGAGGAGTAGGCTATGCAGTCCTTTGATTCAGTATGATCATGGCTGGTCATCCATCTCAGTATCCTGTTCCCACTTTCTCCCCTTACCCTTTCATCCCTTTAGCCCTAAGAACTATATCTAATTAATCTAATACAAATGGCTGTCACTGCTTTGCACTTTCAGTTTAGTATTTAAATAGTTAATTCCCACAGCATCTCTACCACGGAGATATTTATCCACCTGAAACATCTTGCTGCATAGATCTCAAAGTTCAACATAAATGTCTGGACAATGTGAGGGACAACATTAACAGATAATACTGACATAAGCTGCAAGGGAAATATATTTGATCAATACTGTCAATAAATCACAATGTCAATTACTGATTAAGGTTGAAAACTAGGATGAAACAAAGCACATAAATGCCTTGGAATAGTTCATTAAATCAAATGTATACTTCGGGGGGAGGGGGGAAATCAGACCAACCAACTGGATTAACCTTGTTAGGATAACACTCTGAATAAGAATAAAGTTGGATAAACGACAATTCCATGAAAATTGTAAGAGCTGATACAAAGCTATCGGCATTTCTAATCTAGATATTTTCATAACTTTTCCATCGCATCAGGAGCATTAAGGACATTTATTTACGCCATTGCCAAACCAAGCAGTCACACCGCTAAATTCCATGCATTAAGACTCCCAAGCTCCTAGTTGCTCTACTCTTTCCAGCCGGCCTCACCCCTTACATATCGTTAACTCCTTCGCCCTTCTAGTCACAGAAATTTCTAGCACGGCACAAGAACTTAGAAACCGCCATTACACCGCTACTTGTCTGAAAATGGAATCGTGCCCTGCCGGTTTCCCCGGGTCTGCAATAAGAATCACCAAAAACATCATCCAAAAACCACCTCAACTGCAAATTGGGGGTGATCTCAGCAGCTGAAACACTATATTACTCTTTTGGAGCAGTACTAATTGTGGAGAAGATTTCCTGACTCCGATGGACGCTGATTTTCAGCTGACTACTTCATGTAATAAACGCCACCATTCTTACCTTTTCTCAAAAGGAAGGGCTAGACATCCGGGCCACGTTGGTATAAGTTAATGAAACGTCACTTGACTTCCGCCAACGGGCCTGCAAAGCACTGTGGGAGTCGTAGTCAAAACCTTTAAACCACATTGAAAGGTATTAACCAAATCTCACAACAGATTTCAATATGGTCTCTCTTAGTTTTTGTTAAACCCCACATAATTCAAGTATGAATTTTTATTGATTATTGTTCAGATTCAAGATTAATACGTATAGCTAATGAATTTGCCTTACTGTTTGTACACCATTCTTTTGCTTATAGAACCGTGTGTATGAATCCGCTCCATAGAAATAACGTTGTAGTTCTTATTAACCATAGGCTTCGAGTAATTAGGGAACCCGCCTCAAGGAAATCATAATATGACTTTTGTGAGAAATACAAACATAGAATATGAATATCACCGTGTTCTGAGGCACGATGCTGGAGATTTTGTTCAATGTTTACGTGGGTGAGTCGGCTGTGTCTAATGTTAGTAATAGATGTCTAAATGGGACCTGAGTGTGTTCAGGAGGTCTTCGCTTCATCAAGGAAACCAGAGTTACATTAACTAATTTTTCCTCAATCAGTGAGTCATCAAAATCACTTCACTACAAAAGTTGATATGCAAGTTAAGTGTGACCTTCATTTAAAATATTACTCATTTTTAAATTCCTATTTTCTGCTTTATTAATTTTGGGAATAGATTCTTGCATTATATATAAATGGAAACTCATCTTTGGATCTAACAACAAGGTTATGAATAGTCTAATTCAGATTCAGACAGTTATCACAGAGAGAGTTGTAATCCCTGATTTGGGAAAGAAGTTTGGTAAGGGCAATTGAGACAATGACGTTGATTTTCCCAATATTTGATTGGAGGAAATTTTTTGCTCATCCATTACAACAAGTTGGACACAATCTGATAATTTAGAGGCAGTGAAGGGATTTGAGATGGGTGGTGATGAGTTAGAGTTGGGTAATATCAAACTACACACAGAACTTGAATATGCTTTTGGAGAATGTTACCAAAAAACAGTAAGTAGTTGAGAAATAGGAGGTGGCCAAGGACAAATCAGAGGTAATCTGAGGTGTTGGAGCAGGAAGAAAAGTTAATGTATATGATTATCTGTCTCCACTAAATGGATTAGAATGGAACTAGGCAAGCATAGTGCCACCCTCCCAGATATATTGGTTGTAATAGTTGGCTTGATGTGAAATTTAGCTACGAAAATTGTAGTCTCCTGCAATGCTATCTAAGGGATAATACTATAGAACGGGATGGAGGGTAACCCTCCTCACCAGAACATCCTTCACTTAAGTGGCTGAGGCAGAACAGCTCACATGCTGAATTGCTCTAGTATGACTTCAGATTATGACAATACCTTTCCACCATCTTTACCTGCAACTTTTAAAGCCCTGTCGCTTCACGTCAACCATAGTTCAAAATGTTTTTTGAGACTTTCAGATTATATCTCTATTATGATCTTTCATATAATTAACCTAAATGTTTTACATTCAACAGCACTCATCCAGTGGCCTCAAGATGTCACCTTGTCTAAACATAATCTATCCCAAAACTCTACTGCATGTATCCTAATTCATATCAAGCCTTGATCTGTCATCATCATTAAATTAGCTGTCTTACATTAGTTGCCAGTTAAACAGTGCTTCAATTTTAAAATTCTCATTCTTATTTGTTTTCAAATACTTCCATGGCTCACCCTATCTATATGTGTGTTCTTCCAGCCTTATAACTCAAAGATTACTATATTCCTCCAATTCTTGCCTCTTGTGCATACCCAATTGTAATTGCTAAACAATTGGTGGCAGTGCCTTCAGCTGCCAAGCCTCTCTGCATAGTTCCCCTGCATTTATGACACACTTTAAAAACCTCTCTCTTTGCCTAAATTTTGGTCACTTATCCTAATATCTCCTTATGTAACTTGGTGCCCGATTTAATTTGATGATTTCCATGATGTGCCTTGGAACACTTTACTGCATTAGAAGAACTGTGTTAATTCAAATTACTACGGTATAATTCTTGGATCCTTCTGTGCCTGCACTTGATGCTGTGAATAATTATGCAAATAAGCTTACACTAGAAATTAAGTACAACTTGCAATTAAAATTTCCATTAGTGTTAATGCCATTTCTTAGGACTTAAACCTGAAGGTGAAAATCTACCCTTTACAATCAGTGTTGTTCATACTTTATCCATTGGTTTATTCACATCACAAAATCATTGGATTTGGGCATTATAAATTTGTGGATTACCAGCAAGTTTCAGGATAAGTAGTTAATACAGAGGAAGACTGTGATGACATTAAGGAAGCATTAATAAGCACACAGAATAGGCATATGACTGGCTAATCAATTATGTGTGAAGTGATAATTTTTGGGAAGAAAAAGAAGACTTCATTCTATCAGAAAATAAAATGTCTAAATGGAAGACAGAGACAGAGGGATTGGAGACTATAGATTTAGCAATCACTGAAAGTAACATTGCAGTTTTATACATAAAAAGCAAGCAAAGCACTGGGGTTCTTTTCAACAGGGATGTAATTAAACAAAAAGTACATAGTTAACCTTGTATAGAACCTTAGTTAGACCACAATTGGGAGTACGGTGAAGAGTTCTGGTCTCCATATTATAAAAAGGATTGGGAGGTGTTGGATGTGATGGTTAAAAGGTGAATGATACCAGAACTAAGGGATTATTATCTCTCAGAAAAGGTTTAACAATCTGGGGGTATTTTCTTTAGAAAAGACAAAGATGTGATCTAATAGATTCAGAAAAATATTTCCATTGGTGGAGAGGAAAGGCAGAGACAGTTCTGACAGAGATGCCACAAGTATCAGATGGTCACCAACAAATCTAATACGCAGTTAAAAAAAAACTTCATTACTGAGTGTGGTCAAGAATGTGGAACTCTCTACCACATGGAGTGACTGAGGTGTACATTTGCACTTTAGCAAAGCTGGATAAACAAATTCAGGAGAAAGGAATATAAGGATATATTGATGGGGTTGGGTTAGATGTAGAAAGGTAGGAGGAGCCTCGAATGCAGTGTAAACAGCAGCATGGGCATGTTTCTGTGCTGATTTTTAATATATACTTTCCAACCAGCCAAGGTTAGATATAGTTTAAGTACAAAGTAAATCTCCCTTAATTTTTCTAATCAACATCCTTTAGATTCATCTTTTTATAAAGAGTACCCCCAATACTGTACCATTTCCCACACCAAGCAACCTATTATGATTTTAGAGATAGTAGGAACTGCAGATGCTGGAGAATCCGAGACAACAAGGTGCAGGGCTGGATGAACACAGCAGGCCAAGCAGCATCATAGGAGCAGAGAGGCTGACGTTTCGGGCCTAGACCCTTCATCAGAAAAGGGGGAGGGGAAGGGGGTTTTGAAATAAATAGGCAGAGAGTGGGAGGCGGATAGAAGAGGGATAGAGGAGAGGATAGGTGGAGAGGAAACAAACAGGTCGAAGAGGCGGGGATGGGGCCAGGAAAGGTGAGTGTAGGTAGGGAGTTAGGAAGGGGATAGGTCAGTCCAGGGAGGACGGACAGGTCAAGGGGGCGGGATGAGGTTGGTCGGTAGGAGATGGAGGTGCGGCTTGGGGTGGGAGGAGGGGATAGGTGGGAGGAAGA